CTTGGAGTCACAGGGAATCCGTTGATTTTTCTTCACAACCAGGGGGGGCTGGTTGTTCATGCATGTGCCAGCCCAACGAAGAGGCTGATATCGGTGGGGACGCTCACCGACGTACCTGCCCTGCAAACACACTGACTCCAATGGTCCTCGCTCGCTCAGGCCGTTTCTAGGTTTTCAGGTGTTGTCAAGTGCTAATGAGTTCTGTAGAGTTGAACGGGCAGAAAATGGAAACGTGTGAGCAAGCGGGAGCCACCAAGCCACAAAAGCTGGTCCAAGTCCCAACCAAAAAAAGTGGTTGGTGAAGGGCTGGATTTGGAGTCCAAGGACCACAGTATGACATGTTGTGACAGTATGACCATGTATGACCGCAGCCTACAGTGTTCTACTGACATCCCTTCACGGGTCGAATTTAACAAGATCTAGCAATAGTCCAATATATTAATTTAGTTCTGTTGTTTTTTTTGCAAGTCTTCCGTAGCCTATGTTTGGTCATGAGTCACAACCACACAACCGTTTTTTTTGCACCCCTTGGCAGTCGTGGAAACTGCAGAAGCTTTGCGGACGCACTTTTGCACAAGTTCTATACGGGCTTATATGTAAGTAACTAACATATTATTGAACAGGCATGATGTTACAACCTGCAGGCAGAATCAAGGCCTAGAGTAACATGTGGTAACTAACACCGCGTAAGCTCAGCGGAAACCCATACCCACAACTAGCGCGCGGAAACTATGCTATCTTTCATGTGGCGCAAGGTTGGTGCAAACAGTTGCGTGAGCCTTGTGTTATGTCCACTAACAAACAGAACAAAACATATTAACATACAGTTATTCGATTGATTTTGGGGATTGAACAATTTTCAACTGCCTTTTTCACAGTTCGACATATGGGACTTGACCTGGGCCTCTCTCGTTTCAGCTTCGTCCGAGTGTCATCGGCCAACAAGGTACGTCAACTTCATTGAGCCCCCACAGGCGTTGCCTGCACAGATTGACTCGGCAAGTCAGAGCAGAGGCCACGCACCTGGGTGCTCCTGGGTGTCCGGTCGTGTGGCGAGGCATTGGATGAGGAATCGAGGCAAAAACTGTTGTAGTTTCTAGCCACTGGTAGTAAGGCACCTTGTTACTAGTAGCGATGCTGTTGTTCCTAGTAGTTTTTAGCTACTAGTAGTAATGCCCTTGTTACTGTTGTAGGAGGTGTCCATGAGTGTCCATGAGGTATGCGGTCATTCCAGACAGTGTTAGGAACTCGTGTGGTTGTGCAACTTGAACAGGAATATCCAAGACTGTTGTACTGTTGTGGAGGTTGCGTGGAATGTGACCCCCCGCAGTTTGTTTTGCCATCACAGCAAGATACACTATAGGAATATCGAGGCAGCGCGGCGTGCCTCGCAACAGGAAAACATAAGCTGGACTTAGACTTGTTGGCATGGGAGAAGGGCCTGTCACCTGCCACTTTGTCAGTCACTGCTTGCTGTGCTTGCCCAACGGTTGATGCGAAAGTCACCCAAACAAGCTCCTGAGATGGGAGCCCACCCGTGGAACTTAGCACATCCTTTATGAAGAGAAAGTACAACCTTCCTGGATACTGGATACTCCTCATCGACCGATTGGTCCAGGTGAAATCCCTTAGTTTGCGTCCCAACTCAACCATCCGAACAGGAATTTAAGGGTTTTGGGACCATCCACGGAAATGAGTGCGGAATTTGCCACCAATTGTATGTGTATAGATAATATTATATATATATATTTTTTTGTATCCACATACTAGATTAAGAGCATTCGAGAATGATAGAATGAAACCTGCATATCAACCAATATTAAAGTAAGGCATTTAGAGAAGTGATGGCCTCAAACCCTTGCAGGTCTGGCGCGGCAGGGTATTGTGGGCTCTGTGACGATCCAGGGCAAATGGCTAGAGGTGGCGCAGATCAGGGATGTTTGGGTGTCAACCGAGGTGAAGCCACTGGGGGAGTGGCTCTTTTGGGCGGGACTGGCTCATCAGTTTGGAACAAGCGGCATTCTTGGTGTGTCACCAAAGCCTTCGAAGAGTTCCATGTTTAGGATTGTTTAGGCAGATACCGGATGGGTTTTCATTGGATGGATCTAGTCGGTCGATCCAATAGAGCTAAGAACTTCTTCGCTTTCACCGCTTCGTTCACCTCCAGTTCAGGACTTGAAATAGGTCTTCCATGCATTGGAAATGCCATTTTCTTTTGGCGATCCAGGATTCCATCGAGCTGGAAGTGATCTTACCCAAGGAACAGCGTGTTCGCCGCCCGGGTGCCTAATTTCTGCTCGGTCGTTGACGAACGGGACGATGCTCCGTCGTTGTCTCGCGATGGCCTCCAAGCTACTAGCGATGATGGTTTCCGCCGTAGGTCGTTGTTGAAATCAAGAGTTCCACACCACACGATGGCCAGAAGAGATTCATCAGGTCCTGTGCACCTACTTGCAGTTGTTTATTCTGGGGTGTGTAGGTCCGTGACCCTTTGAGGATGAAGAACCAGGATGGCGCAGCCTATCCAACTTTTGCTTGGTCTTTGGATGGCACACCACTGCAGGAAGTGGTTGCTCGGAAAAGAAGCGAGCTTCATTTCGGAGAAAATATACACGCTCTCCAAATAAACCAAGTCCGTCACAGCAGTGTACTCTTTGGACGATGATATTCCTCTTCCACCTTGCCTCTTCCTTAACAGTATATTGGGCGAGCGAAACCTGCGTGGGGGTTGCTGCAGTTCCACCCTCGGGCCGGTCCTCAAGCCAGTTCCACTGCAATGTGAGGAGGTGGAATTTCCTTCGACCTGTGGTATTTTGTGAAAGAGATCCGTGGCAAGCTCAGGGGAGAGGAAGTGGGTGCCGTATGCACATTTCTTGCGTGCGTCCGTGTGTTTTGTTATTGGATGGGTATGATCCTGCAAACCACCATGAGTTGGGTTGCACTTTTCAACATACTGTAATTTGTGTTGCAGTTGTTTAATGGTTAGAAGAAGTTGGTTTCATTGGTGGGTTTCATTGTTTCATAACTTTCAGTAGCTGACAAAGAATTGGATTCCAACCCAGGCTTATGAAGGAAAGTCGGTAAACCTTGGCCTGTTGGCTCAATTAGGCTGAGTCTGAGAGAGATTTGACAGATTGACACGTTTTTCTCAGCTCCAGGGACAGCCTATGTTACTGCCTAGATCGGGGAAATTTATCATACCAGTGAGAAGGACCCAGATCGTTTTTTTATTCCAAAGGTGCCTGCCAGTCATGGTTCCATGCCTGCCAGTCATGTCCCGGTCACGTCAAACCGGTGAAAAAACGCTCCGAACTGGATTATATTTTTTTCTTCCACCCTAATAGCCGCTAATAGCGCTGGCCTCCACCCTAATAGTGATGCCCTCCAACCTAAGAGCGATGGCCTCCTACCTACGAGCGATGGCCTCCAAATGAAAGAGGCTTTCTACCTCACAGCCAGCACACCCAGTGACCCATTCACAACAATTCACAACGGTGATCATTGTTAGAGTGTGTTTCGTTTCTTTTGTGCATTCGTTTAGTGAATGCCGTTCATCCTCAGCCTTTTGAACACACTGCATGAATAACATAAAAACTAAATATAGTTATATATACAATATATATATATACACTTAACAACTTAATTAATTATATATAGTGTATTTATTTGTTTATTTGGAGATTCATTCCTAGATACATAGAATGCAGCTAGACCAGAGACATCAACTGACACACTTTGATGTACTCCGTGAGGTTGTGAGTGAAAACGAACGATAACACGAGCCAAAGGTCCGTGCTCATGCACCGCATTGCTGTTTGAATTCACATATGTCAAACCTGTTTGAAAGAGACTTCAGACTTCCCCCATCTACTGCCGCCCTCGCACCCATTAGGGCCCGTGGGACGGGGCTTGTCGAGCCATCCAGGTGCAAGAATTTGGCAAGAGCTCTCCAAAGCACAGCAGGTCATTTTGAGCTTCTTTGAAGCATTTGATGATTGTGTTATGTGCAGTCCTGTGGCATGTAGGTCTTGTTGGAGCTTGGGCGCAAAGAGTCGGGCAACGTGTTGTGTACATGGATTGTGAAGACTCTAGAAGACATTCATGGGGCTCAATGATTCTTAAGACCTGTCAACGATTTCGGGTTGAAGAGGAGAAAAGTCAGAGGAAGTCGATCATTGCCCACGGGTCCTTCGAAGTGACTTTTGCGGGTCTAGACTCTCGACAAAACAAAATCACCTACGCCTACAGGTCTAGGGCCCTAGGTCTTGTAGTCTGGAGTTCGCTCTGTTGGCGGTAGAGATCCATTCACACGGCAAGCCATGCCAAACATGTCAGCCTCAGACATTGTTTCTTTGATCTCAACAATGGGGCACCGTCTCAGAGGTGTTGTTTCCTCTACGTATTTTCTTCCTCAAGCAGAATGACACTTCGGGAAATGCAATCATTAGGGCCAGGTTTGTTATTTTTACGCGTCCAGACCGTTAGAGCCCCAGCGCCACCTTCAAGTAAACAGAAGCACGGATAGCAGATAGCAGGTTTAGCGGAATACGCCGTACAGTGTGAACAGTAGCTTCCAGCGTGTGCGACGTACTAATTACATACTTCGATGCACACGTTCCAAGTCACAAAAGCACTACTTTCGCACCATCAATTGTGACCGTTTTTACACGAACGACCATGGACCATGGAAGACGACCTGCCCCACGGCAAGTGACGGACACCTGGGCAGCGTGGTCGGCACGTCCAGCGTGGCCACAGCGGCAAGGTCAAGAGAGTGAGCCGTGCCGTTGGCCCCGAGAAAACGGCAGTCGCTGCACCTTTCGCTTCCCAGCCAGGAGACATGAAGTGAAGTGACAGTGACTGAACAGGTCTCCAGCTTTGGAGGAGAAATGCTTGTTGAAAGGAAGCAACAACACGTGTTGTTGTTTCCCGACAACTATGTAGGAACTCTTCTTGTTTCATGATGTTCCCTCTACAAACCTGCTTTCCACCAAGCAACTTCATTCTCAGGAGGGGAACATTTGTGTGAACATCTCCATGATTTACAGTAGATGTAGCTACCCCAATACCCACCTTGAAACACAGAGTGCAAGCATGCTAGTTTGCTGTAAGACAGGGCATATTTGCACTGCTATTGCTGCTTGTAATGATTATATAATATGTAATATTTGTTGACTCCGCAACAGTGCGAACAGTACACATGTGTTTCTGACTTGGAATCTTTGCTAGGCAGGTAACTGGAAGCGCAGGGAGGAACACCTCTTGCATATTTTTGGGTGTGCTTTGTACTTCGAATCACAGGCTGGCAAGCAGAGTGGACGCTCAGACTGGTTCAGACTGAGCGCAGTCCGGCACAGGAAGCTCTGTCTTTTCATTTCTGAGAACACATGTCCGATTTCCCCAGGTACTTGAGTTTTTGCCCGGAGGCTTTCCTTAGAAATCAGCATTCCCCATTGGCCACAAGAGACACCTACCTTTGCGCAAGCGCAAAGACTTGCACAGCGTACACTGTTGGAATCAACCAGGAATAGTAGAGTACAGCACTTGTTCATATGTATTTGACATATTTTGACATTGAACTAAAAAGGCAACCATTGAACGACTCAATCTGTTTTAAGGAGCTCATCCGTTGCCAGTACTCCCCAGTCTTTAAGAGAAAACCACAGGAGAGAGAGCACAGCCTTCTTCCAGCTTTTCATGAAGACGTACCAGGAGCGGAACGGAGGAGAGCGAAGCGAGATTCAATATGAGACGAAGACATCGCTGAAAGGACGCCACAAACATAGATTTAGATGATATAGTCATGTCGTCATTTCACAGACAAACTCCCAAATCATAATTTTTGGACCTGGGATCAGTTTGGGTGGTACCGTTCGAGGTCCGGTCTTCGGTCTTCGGTCTTCCCGCAGGTCTTTGTGGTTCCCATCATGGTGGACACTGGCAGCGATGAGTTCCGTTTTCCAGCGACTTGGTGCCAGGAGGTTCCAGGTTTGGAAAGGAGATGAATCGGGTCCACGTTTTGCAAGATTGTATATAACATACTGCAAGATTGGAATCTATGCGTCTTCCACATCATGAATGTCACTCTTGAAGCGAAGATGCATCAAATACAGGTTTTAGTAAATACAGGTTTGAATAATACACCAAATTCATCAACACATTGCCCAGCTTTACCCGTTCCCTCGAAAAGAACTGACCACAGCATTTTTGTTACAAGACTTATATTATATAATTGTTAGTAATTAAAGTCAAACAAACTATTTAGCCAGTTGTCTATTACATGTCGGCTTTCATGGTTGGAACCAGGGACTTTGATTCAGAGTGTTGAACCACCCGAACCACTGAAAATACACACACGTGCGAGAGCGTGTGAGAGCATGCGAGCAGTTCAACATGTCTTTTTTTCAGTGGGTCCTGTAGAACACGTTTTTGTAGCTCAGGCTAGGTGGGACTTGCATCAAGCTTCAATAGGTTGGATCTCATGTCACTGACTTGTAGATAACAAACATGTCGATTTGCATCGATTTGGAAGCGCAATTGGACATCCTTGCACAAGATCTTCACCCACAGACCCACGAGCACGTGCATGGCGAACGGAGATTTGAGCGTCAAGTTGCTGGACCTTCGTGTCATGAACCTCAGAGGAGCGGAGTTTGTGGCTTCTTGGGCACAAGGAGAAACGATGTGATGTAATGTATATTAACCCAGCTTTGCAACCCAACAGCAGGTAGCAACTCAATTGACTGGAACTGTTCCAAGACTCCTATGCGTTGCTAAAGCTCCAATGCACCCCCAATCGATTTATTAACTGTGAAGGGAACTTGGGAGCAGGAACTCGGGAACAGGAACTGGGGTCCGGAGCAGGCAGGAGGAAAGCGCATCAGAACAAACAAGACGTTGTTCCCATGACAAAGGCATGTTGCTAAGTATATACGAACACTTGCCGCACTATTGGTCCTGCTAAGGGTACCGCGAAGAATGAGTTCTAACAGGAACAGAAAGCACACCACAAGTGCAACAGCACGGAAACATCCTGCTATGTGCAACTGCCTTTTGCCTTGGAAGTTTGGTGGCTTGCCACCTGACCCTAATCCTTCTTGCATGACTCAGCACTCATGTTGCTTGCAGCATCAGCTTTACAGTGGCAATGCCTGGTGGCATCACACTGCTTGTTGCAAGCTTGTGAAACTCCAGCCACCCCACCCCTTGTTGGCAAGGATCAGGAGGCACACTGCAAGTAAAAGCTCTTTCCGTCGCAGCAAGGTCCTGCTAGGTCCTAGGTACATGCAAGCCTGTAGCATAGCTGCTGATAGAACATATGTGCATCAAATGTTTCGCAACGGAGGCAGAGCTCACAAGTAGAAAAACTGTTGCCGGTGAAGAAGCGTCCTGCTTGGTATACGCAAGCCTCGTGTACAGAAGAATGCTCCACAATGGAGGCAGGAGGCGCGCCACAAAAGACTGCTTCGTAGCGGCGACAAATGGCTCACTACGAGCGAAAAAACTGTTGCAGAACAAAATGCTGCCAAGGACACGCACCACAAATTGAAGCCCTGTCCCCATATTCAATGACACTGCAGGTCGGGTCAGCCTCAAAACTGGACAGGCTGCAAAACCAAGACTGCAAACAGATTAACACCAGCCAGGTTCCAAGGTGGGACACTAAGCAGTGTCACCAAAACATAGTCTCACAATATCTCTGCATGGTACGTTTGCTTGTTTGGTACGCCAACCCGAACACAGCACACAAGGATGAACTCAACCTTCCAGCAAACTGCGCGCCGCTCCAAACCCAGACAGTTTTGGAGCCCCGTGGACCAACTGCGCACCACTCCCAGCCCCAGAGGTTGAAACCCACCTGGACCCTTCTGTTGGGAATATCGTTGGAACATGTTGCAACCAAAGTAACAGCACAGAATTATATACAGGAAATTATTGTGTACCGTTTGTTACGATGGTGGTTTCAAACGACTACAGCAACATGTAGTGAACCATTTGGCAGTTTGTTTTGTGCGTGGAATCCTCGTGAAGAACAGTGTTTTGTTGTTAGATTGACTGGCCGGCCGGCACACACTAAATTTATCCATTTATCATATGTTATAGGGTCACAACATAGACCGTAATAACATATCATAGATATGAGATGTTGTGTTTATGTTTCTTTGTATTTGTGTAAATTAGACTGGATTGCACTTGATTTCTGCGGGTACTGTTTTGAGTCTGAGGGTTTCATGTCTTCGGTCGCTTTCTCCAAACAAATAACTGTCCAGGTGTTTTTCTTTGACTTAGTTGTCATGCACCTCTTCGGATAGATTTGTGGTTCACATGGTTAAGCAACTGGTTCTGGTATATAACATGGTAATTCGCTTCCAGGTCCCACGGTCACACCATTCTTTTCGAGACCTCGAGACCAATGAACAACACAGGACTGGATTCGCCGTTTCCTGCGACCGGCTGCGACCGTTTCTAACAGGTCCAAGTGAGCGAGTCCTTGAACGGAGCTGAGCTCCGACAGAGGATCGCAGAGATTGTGGGGCCCAAAGCTGCTGCCAGAGTCCTGATCCAGAAGCTCGGACGAGGTCGGATGTTGGATGGTGTGACATGACATCAACCTAGTAGTGATGGCCGCCTCCACCCTACTAGCGATGGCCTCCACCAACCTTCCTGTTAGATCTTAGAATGTTTTTAGATGGTTGGCCGTCAAAGATCGGTCATCGATGTCAATTCTTTCACGGCTGGCGTCCTTTTCGGTGCACTGTTCGATCGATCGCTCCCCCGAGCGACGCTGTTCGCTCTTCGGACTCGAATGGATCATTCGTTGGTTTAAACTGCTTGGTTTATTCACTCTACCTGTTACCTATTGTTACCGTTACCTATCACTTATTTGAGGATGTCCACACACAGAATGAGCCTTAAGATATCATTCAGAAATACTTAGAATCATGCAGTCGCAGGTCAGAGGTTATGAACCAAGCTGTTCAGCGGAAAAGAACAAAACGCAAACACATCATGGTTCTTTACTCTACGACCACTGGATCCATTGCGCACTTCTTTGGGTGTATTGTGCCTTTTATTGTCCCCGGGAGAGTCAATGGGCGACGAGGTAGAGTATCAACAGACAAACCTGCCGGTCCTACATGTGCATGGCTCAGGAACCAGACAGAAGAGCTTCAACCACATCGGTCTTTGAAGGAGCTGTTGCTTGGGAATCTCCATGTGTGAGCTACATCTATTCGCCTACAAACTTGCATGAGGCATGGAAAGCAATTCAAGGCTTGCCTGTGGATGATGAAAGGAAGGCGTTTGAGGGAATCACGCACTTAAAAGGGATTTTTGATCTCAGTCAGCTGAGGGTGGCTCCACAAAGCTTGCGATGCCTGACGTTTGGAGATTTTTTCAACCAAAGTTTGGAGGGAATTACGCTGCCTGGCATTCTTCAAAGCCTGACTTTCGGTCATCATTTTAACACAAGTTTGTACCGTGTAGCTCTACCCAGCAGCCTCGAGACTTTGTCGTTTGGGCACTATTTCAACCAAAAACTGGAAGAAGTTGCTTTGCCCGACAACCTGCAGAGTCTGACATTTGGGGCCATGTTCGACCAGAATTTGGAGCGAGTAACTTGGCCCAGCAGCCTGCAAGTCTTGACATTCGGCCAAAACTTCAAGCAGAGTTTGAAGAAAGTGGCTTTTCCCCACAAACTGAAAGTGCTGACCTTTGGCCGTGACTTTTACCGAAGCTTTCAGGGCGTTCACTTGCCCAATAGTCTTGAGACTTTGACATTTGGGGTCGGGTTCAATCAAAGTTTAGAGGGTGTTCATTTGCCCGAGAGCCTACAGCATTTGACATTTGGTGACGGCTACAACCGGAAACTGGACCGAGTGCTTTGGCCCAGACTCCGCACCTTGTCCCTGGGCCACCGCTACAAGCAGTTGCTAGTCAAAGTGGCATTGCCCAGCACTTTGGAGAGTTTGTTTCTGGGGAACATGTTCAATCAAAGCTTGTCCCAAGTTGCTTTGCCCAGCAGCCTGCAGAGCCTGACATACGGAGCTTCGTTCGACACCTGTTTGGATGGAGTGGTTTGGCCCAGCAACCTCCAGATCCTCACGTTTGGTGACAACTTCAACCAGCGTTTGGAGAATGTGTCTTTACCCAGCAGCCTTCGGAGCCTTACATTCGGCTATAGTTTTGATCGGACTTTGGCACGAACTCATTTTCCTGAAAGCCTTCAGAGCCTAACCTTTGGCGGCAACTTTGATCAAAGTCTGGAGGACATTCACTTGCCTCAAAGCCTTCAGAGTTTGACATTTGGCTATCGCTACAACCAGGGATTGGACGTGGTGGCTTGGCCCAGCAGTCTCTTGAGCTTGACTTTTGGGGCCAATTTCAATCAAAGGTTAAATGGAGTGGCCTGGCCCTGCACTCTCCAGGTCCTGACATTTGGTCACAACTTCAACCAGAGTTTGGAGAATGTGTCTTTACCCAGCAGCCTTCAAAGCCTTACATTTGGGGTGTGTTTTGATCAGATTTTCGAGCGAGTTCGCCTGCCTGACAACCTCAAGAGTTTGACATTCGGAGCCCTGTTCAATCAAAGTTTGGACCGACTTGAATTGCCAGACAAACTGGAGAGTCTCAGCTTTGGGCAGTGTTTCAATCAGAGCTTAGAGCACCTGATTTTGCCCAGCAGCCTCCAGACATTGAGGTTTGGCTCCGAATTCAACCAGAGTTTGGATCAAATTGCTTTGCCTGGCAGCCTCCGCAGCATCATGTTGGGGAAGGATTTTGATCACAGCTTAGAGCATGTCCAATTGCCTGACAGCCTCACAAGCTTGGCTTGCAATGGCTTTTTGCTGAGCGTGCTGTAGCTTGAGTGTGTCAAGAGAGTTGCCTTTTCGCAGCAACTTGTTCAACATTCGGTGGGTGCGTTCGTGCAGGACTGATCACTACTGTATGCCGTCACCGATGCTAATTTCTTGTCCGTTCAAGGACTTGAGATCTGTCCGCGACGGTTCCAAAGGTCGCATTGGTCGAAACACACCCGTGATGTCGAACAATGGGGCGTGTGATGGATCAGATTCTCTAGATGTGTTCATCACAGCCTGGGCTTCAGTGGTCCAAGGTATAGAACCATCGAGTGTAGAATAGTAATCAACAACTCCCAAAAACAAGCTTGATCGGGGGGATTAATTATGGGATCATTTGAATGTGTGTGTGTTTCAATCTGTTTGCCGGAATCGCCTTGTGGCGACGCGACGACGTTAACTTGTCAATGGCATCGACTCGGCATCAACTGTTTCGAGACTGTACGTGTCAAGTCGTGTGAAGCAGCAAAAACAGAAGACAAGATAGACAAGCAATGTCTTTCGGACCTTTAAAGTGGGAGTCAGTGTGACTGCATCAGACCCTGTACAGGAGGCAAAGCCCCATCAAGTTGCAGTAGTCTACTGTTTGGGTCCGCTGATGAGCAGAAGTAATCTTGGTTGAGCAGGAGAACTTTGCAATGTTCAATTCAACTATCGAGTCAGAGCTGTTCAAAGCAACTGCCCTGTTTCCCCAGATGGGGATGGCCGTCCCCTCTAAGGCCAGTGTTCGCGCAGAGGTTCCGCCACCCGCAGGGCAGCCAAGACAACCCATCCGCGTCGCTCAAATGCCTCGGATTGTACCAGTGGGTTTGGGGTGTGCAGTCTAGATTGGGATACATTTGGGCTACAGAGGTCCTAGCTGTAGCCCTGTTCCGAGGAATGTCTCAGAAAAACAGCGGCTTTTCCGATGGGCATTTGTGGACTACCGCAGTTTCCAGAGTGACATCACTGACCAGAGGATCCACAGACGAGATACCAGGATCATCACTGACCAATGGTCTTATGGCGATACAGGAGGAGCTCCACTGCGAGTGTGGCGTCCCAATAGGGAGCCCCCAACACACCATCCGCGGCGAGGACGAAGGGTGTTCCAAACACCAATCACATGAACCAACGTGTTCCCTAAAGAGTTCCTGGTTAGGCACCGCTTGGCCTGGCCGACACCGATCCCACCACCCAGGCAGGCACCCTCTCGTGCCAAAAGCTGCTGGCATCTCGGAGTGGTTTAGATGGGCTTCAACAAAAACGGGGCCTTGCGTGCCTTGTCATTTGGTGTAAAAAATTGATCTGTCGCATTCTTTTGCATATTTTTGCCTACTCAAATCTTTGCTTCTAATGTGGCCACGCAGTTGATCCTGGGACCTCCAAACTTCACTAACCCATGGATGCTAAAACAAGTGGTTCCTCACATCTCACTTTGGGTTTCTAGGGCGAAGCTACGCCGTGACATCTCTTCAAAGAGAAGAGGGAGGAAGGTGGAGGAATATTCACGGGCCTGAACACCTCTTATAGAGGAATCCTGGAGGCATATATTATATATATATGGAGCTAGGAGGAATTGCTTGTCCTGAGCAAACGCTTGGCCTGAGTCAGGGCCAGTGGCAGCCTTTCCGCAGAAGAGTTGCATCATAGAGCATTCCACCATATGAGGATTTGTAAGGTCTGTCAGATGCTCTACTCAGTTGAGAACTGTCCGGACCTTCGTAGGTTTTTTGCCGGCATCAAAATTGTTGTTGCTTCCAACATTTGATGGGCAATTTCCTGCTTTGCCTGCAAAAGATAGTCACATAGTAGGTGGTACAGGATTTTGTCCATCAATGAGGACATGTTTGATCACGTTCAAAGTCCAGCAGTGGCTATCCTGGTTCCAGAACGCTGCAGGACACATGTGCTGCTTATTTCCGCCGCTGCGTCTATCGATTTGCTGAGGTCAAGCCTCATGGGGACATGTGCCCAGAGGTGACGAGTGTGGAGTTGAAAGTGGAGGCGGGGAATACTATGGGACGATTTGGGACCATTCGTCAGCCGCTGCGCTGGATGGCATTTCAGCATTGGATGGCATACGCCGAGAAGCACTGCTTTGTAAACATAAATTGTATAAACGTATTTGCTTGATTCCAGGCATTGAATTGAACACAAGTGATGTCACACAATTTTGCTGCAATTCTTGTCAGCGCTACAGCACGAGGTTGGCGTTGAACCTTGAACCCTGCCCCTGCCATTGAAACGTTTTCAATTGACACTTTTACTTTTGCTTGTCTCACATTTGTAAGTGGCTGAATTTGATCCTGTGAATCCGGATCTTTGGCATGAACAAACAATCTTAAGACTCCCAAAACAGGTAAATCTTGGTGTCCACTTCACCGCGAGGAAAAATTGCCAAATGAATATGGTAAAGCACACTAGCTAGAAGAAAACTTACCAAGGTTCGGATCCGGACTACAACCATGGCCAGTCCCGCCGCAACGATAGCATACAGGACCTGAGCAGGATTCGAACGAACCCAGAACCAGAATTCTGACGCTTTTGGAATTTTTTTCCGTAGGCCACACGCCGCACGCTTTTGGAATTGAACTCGGCTTTATGACACACGTCTTTATGAATGGGGCCCTTGGGGACTTGCGAATCACCATTTCTGCGTTTCCAAAAACATTGAAGCACGCTCCAAGTACGCATAACTTTGGACCGCATAACGTTGCAATTCAACTAGTGGATTGATGAATCAGGGCAACATCCGGGAAAGTGATGCAGGCAAACGGAACAGATGTCCAGGGTTCAAGTCTCACCCGATTGCAACGCGTATCTAGAGGACTCGCTAGCCAGGGATGCTTTGGAAACCCCGTACAGTGGTCTCTGCTACCTCCACCCCTTTGGTCATGACTCAGGTGGGAAGCATTGTTGAGCAAGCCAAGTGGAGCTGGGAGCAGCTTGGAGAGGCCTGGTCCTGGTCAACGAAGACCAATGGGGATCTTGGCCACCTTAATTACTAATAGTATGAAAAAAGTCAGTGAGCATGATGAATCCGATCCAATTCTGTCATCAAAGCAGCTGGGTAGCTACAATCCCAAACAAACGTTGCAATGTCCTGTGAACTCAGTCTATTGGTGTAACCCTCTCAAGGGGTGCAGGCACTTTGCGTGGAGGCGCAAGTTGCAGGTCGTAGGTACAATGTTTGGCTACTGCTTCAACCCTTTCCACAGCAAATATTCCGGCAGATTCTTTCCTGAGTGTTGTTCAAACTCTCCAAGAGACTTCCATGACTCCCATCATGTTCCATTAATTAGTTGCTGTATTGTTCCCATTATATCAAATACACATTAAGTCAAATTAATGTAATATATATATATATTATGTAGGTGTGTAGTATACAAAAACCATGCTGAATCGTAAATTTGAGAAGTTGAGACCCCACAGAATCTTTTGTACTCTACTGATGGCAACTTATCAAAAAGGTGTCTCAGTGATATAGCTGGGGTAGGAGCAAGATCCGTTCGCTAATCAGCGACTGACACACCCTCTGACGTATAGGAAAACAACAAGGGCGTTTGAGCCTTTGTGAGCAAGACAATATGGCCATGCCCCTAATTTCCAACATTGATTGTAACCATGTCCAAATCCTTGTTCAGCCTTCGCCTGAGTTACTACTTGCCCCAATTGGCTTGAGGTTCTACAGAGTGGACATATTTGGTTATTGGGACTCCTACATATTGTATGAATAGAAAGAAAACAAAGTCACTAATTACTAGAAAGCCTTTTGGTTTCACATTCCCATGGTTTTCCGCTCTTTTGAGACATCTCCGTCACTGCAGGGCTCGCCTTGGGGCATTTCGGTGCCCAAAGAATCTGGAGCGGCAGATCATGCTGAGACGCTCGGCATCGCTCGGCCGTGCCCATGCGGAGGTCCATCTTCACTTTGACGTAGATGACCTGGGGGACTCAGATGCGCTATGTGATGCTATGTCTATGTCTATGTCGTGTGTTCAATATGTTCTTCATTGAAGAGGCTGTGTGTGTGAAACCCATGGAGTCACAGGGAATCTGTCGATTTGGTACTTTGCTTTGTTCTTCAAGCAGAGGGCATGGCAGCTGTTTCCCTAGCCATGCCGGAAGGGAATGTGGACGCACATTCCTGTACCTGCAAAGTTTTGGTCCTGGTTCCTTTGGTTTTTACTTAGGCTGGCGTGTGGCAAACCGCAAGTCGTGTCAGTACGCAATATCTCGTGTGTCTCCCTTCGTGGGAGCCCAGGGTGAGCCCGAGGAGTGCCCCCCCATGGCCTTGCTGAGCGAAGGCTTGTCCTTTTCCCCCTGCCCGGGAACGAGGTGTCCAGAGCGGACAGAAGGAGCCTTAGCGCAAACGTCAGTTGAGATTGGCTGAACTAAACAAGTAGGCAGCGTTCGGGCAAGCCGTAACGTGTCCACAGCAGACTCAAGCCGCCCGCCATTTTGGCATGGCACGAGGTGGCCGAAGCGTCCACAGGTTTTTCTAAGCCCGTGAGGGTCTGTCGGGGCCTTAAGTGCACACACAGCGGGCACATTCAAATCCCTAGCCTATAGGTTCGCTCTAATGAGGCTTGGTTTTCGTTGGTTTCCGGCCCCTCCATTTGGTTCCCCTTTCATCTACTTTTCCCTTCACACACTTTCTTTCCTTCTTTCGTCTCATGTTTTTCCGGCTTCATGTCCCGTCATCTCATTCCGTTCCTTCTTTTGCGCGCACATCCGTCCAGCTCTTGGCGTGTACGCGCACATGTACTCTCAAGCCAGGCTTCAGGTCGCCCAGCTTTTGACAATGAGGTACGGTTCACTGTTTGTGCCTGTACAGTCGGTTTCCCGTTCATCGCAACCACGCACACACACACACACTTGTCCTGTCGTGTCCCCTTTTCATGTCTTCATTTTTGTGTCCTTTTCGCGCGCGCATGCACAGTAGTTTGGCCCTTAGCTTTGGCCCCCCCAGGGGCGTGTGTGTGTGAAGCCCTTGGAGTCAAATTGCTTCTTTGCCTCCCCTCGAGGGAGGGGTGGGGTGTGTGTGAAACCCTTGGAATCACAGGGAATCTGTCGATTTGGTGCTTTGTTTTGTTCTTCAAGCAGAGGGCATGGCAGCTGTTTCCCTAGCCATGCCAACGAAGCTATGGGATTCAGCCGGAAGGGAATGTGGACGCACATTCCTGTACCTGCAAAGTTTTGGTCCTGGTTCCTTTGGTTTTTACTTAGGCTGGCATGTGGCAAACCGCAAGTCGTGTCAGTACGCAATATCTCGAGTGTGTGCTTGTGAGGTGTCTTGGGTTTGCTTTGTGAACCAAAACCATTGTGGTTTCTTGCGGATCCAGCGGATTCCAGCACCGAAAGAATTCGCCAGGTGGCATTCTCCACACATGGACATTCTCAAAGCAATGGACCAGAATTTTCTGCTGTCTCAGAGTACGCCCAAATCGAGTATATAGTGTGTTTTCCTCCACGTAGGAGGACCAAACAAATAGACAAACAATTGAGAGGAAACTTGTGTCCCCTATGCTGCCACTTTACTAGATCAAACTCATGCCGCTCCCGAATTTTAAGCGATAGAACATGGTTCAGTTTGATTTACTAATGATTATAGGCAGGCGATCATCGAAGTGTGTCGTGACCTCAAAGCGTGGACACAGAATCTTTACCTCCGTGCAACCCATGAATCAGCCACCCAGGATTGATGAAGCTTTGGCTGGAAAGAGTTCAGTGAGACTCTCTGCTAAATCATGAACAATTTTCTGGTCTAGGGCAGATTGACAGGTGGTAGGGTGGGTCTTCCAACAGCAATTCTCTTAAAATCAGACTTTTCAGTGTTTTCTTGCCATGGTTTGGCTGCATATCACATGCTGATTAAGATGGAGTGTTGCTCAAGGGTTTGAATCCACTGACAAGGTGTCATGAGTCATGAGTCATGATGTGTTTGTTGTTTTTCCTCGATGATCCAGACTCTCAGTTTGTTTTCCTATCATGCAACTGTTTTTGGGGACTCAAACTTGCCGACATAAGTTTGTTTGTAGTATGTGTTTGTAGTCCTGTGTGTTTTTGCTGCAGGGCCTTCATGCATGTTTGGAACTTCCATCACAGCTATTAGCATTTGCAGGTTGTTAGCCATTGCAGGGTGGGTTCCAAGGCTTCACAGTTGTGATGCCACCAAGGCGAGCATCTCATTTGTTCGGCCTGTCATTTGTTTACGCATGCTACGAGGGTAGCACGACGTGCACGCTTGTTCAGACGGGCAGAGCTTCGATTTAACCAGAGAGTTTCTGACCGGAGATGAACCCCACATTGGGAGATGAGCTCATTTTAGGGAGGTGAGCATTAGCATGGTGAGCTTCCGTCCCATGAGTTCGGAATTTCTTGTTCAGGTGCCTTTTGGTGCCGCAGGGTTCCCTCTGAAGGCATACTCCACAGTTGAGAGGGAAACCGCGATACCTTTGAAGGAACAGAACGACTGCATCAGTTGGAACACAAATCCCAGCTGCTTCAAGACTTATATGATATACCGTGTTTTTGTAGCCACGTGTTTCACTTTCGACTAGACCGGGCAGCGAGGCATCCGCCTCTACGAGCTCAGCAATCGCGTGCTGCTGCAGCTCCTGAAAGATGTCCGCACGGCACCCCCGGCCCGTGGCCAGTGGTGGGGCTGAAGTTGCAACATGCATAATATATATATACAGTATATAATATATAACTATAATATATAACAAAGGGTATCACTACTAGGAGCAAGAAGCTACTAGTAGCTCCTGGCATTTCTACTAGTATCAAGAAGCTACTAGTAACAAAGGGCATCGCTACTAGGAGCTTTACTACTAGTAACAAGAAACTACTAGATATACTATTTAAATATACATATACTATACGCACCCATCCGGAGTGATGCCAGAGTCAGGTAAAATGGGTCGTGTTGCCTGGGGGTTCCATTTGCAAGTTGGTCTGGAATTGTTTTGATATTTTGGAGCCCTTGAGAAAATAACCTAACTTAGGGAGGTGGTCACTAGGGAAGGCATGAAAACACAGACAATCACGACCCTTTGGTCATTGAGGGTCATTGGTCGAGTTTTCAGAGGTGGCACCGCCTCATACTCCCATCCTTTGAACAATATCTCAAGCTGGTTTGTCCTTCTTGGAGGAGTACATGTTACTATTTTATATACATATTATACTTAATAATATAGTAGGAATACTGACTCAAATCGCCTTTCTAAGGCAGCCGCACGATGTTCTAAGTCAGTGCGAATGTTGACCTACAGTCATGCGTGGCGCATTGTTCTTCTGCCACAACCATGCCTAGGTTTTCTTTATACATGGCACTGAAAGTGCATCATGTGCATCGTTCTTTGAAACGAGATGGGGCCAAAAGAAAATAAGAACACACTATCTAGCTTGGGTAGATGAATATGTTCAGGTGCCTGGAGACCCTATTGTGACTGGTGACAAGGTATGCCTACCCATCCTAAACAGGCCCAAATTCGATGGTATTGTAGAGTGTTGATGATCAACACCCCAAACCTGGAGATGTAAAACCATTCTGGACCACGTTAGCTTTATTAATCAGCAGTCTACAACAGATGACTCTCTTCATTTCCTCAGTATCTGCTGCGACTCATGTCACTCACCTTGCCAGGCTCGCCCTGGCTGGTGCCCTCCTGAGGAGCGGGAAGCGGGGTGCGCAGAGAGTGCAGTCCCACGAGTGGGTGCAGGATTTGACTTTTAAGATGATGGTGAATAACATATCTACTGATACATGAACACTGCAACTGAGGTTGTAAGGTGCAGCGGTCGCGAGGGAAGCTTCACCACGACAAGACTGATCCTGTCCTGAACCCATTGATCCGGAGGCGAGCTGCATCTGTTTCAAGCGCACCAGGCGGGCTTCCCACTTGATTGCACAGGCTACAAAAAGGCAAGATTGATTCGCACCAACCGTGCCCGCATGACGCACGCACAACTCAAATGGGCGTTCGGGCCTTGCTCCTGGCGTGACAATCACGTAAGGGTCAGGTTTGTGGGTCAAGGCCTTACGTGCTCATGTGGTTTGGAGTTGAGGACGTAGACTCGTGCCATCAATGGCATATTCGGCATTCGACCTACACAATGTCAGAGTCAGATATAGTCAGACTATTTCTTCTATTGCATTTGCAGACAACATCCGTATATTTTTGAATATGTCAGTTTTTAGAGATGGAACTTCCAAAAGTGTGATAACGAAGTATAGTGGCAATATTGTAATGATGGTTGGTTCATCCACTTGAACCACTGCTGCAGAGGGCATAGATATCATTCAGCTTTGGGGGAAATAGATAGCGAGGCATGCTGCTTGCTTCAGGCCCTTATCTTCTCTCTCTCTCTCTCTCTGGTTTCAAAACCTTTCTCCTCTTCACATAGATTTCCACTGGAGCGCGATCATTTTTGCATCTTGTCTCCTGTCGGCTTGCAGACTCAAGCATCTTTTGGCAGAACCGGTGCAAGCGGCTGCCCCCACTTGACTCAACCCAAAGCAGAGCTGGGGTATTGCATTTGCAGGACGCGCCCTGGCAAGCAGTGGTTGGCTCTAAGGGGTGGTGCGATGTGATGTGCGCGACGCTGGCAAGCGGAACGGTTTTTCCTCAAAGCAGATCTCCTTCAAGGTTATGATTTGGAATGAAAGATAAGAATGCCGGCTGGTGTAAGTGGAAGCCGTCTGCGTGATCTTAGCCGCATCAGGTCAGGACCATCGGCGTGGTAAGACACCTGATCCAACTTCATGTTCAATTTTGGTGGCGCATGAAGCCGAGGGCCGAGGGTTGAGAGACGTATTCTTTGCCGTTCGAATCTCTGCCGGAACCGCATTCTGACACCGCAGTCTGATCTGCGTTGGCCCCTCCGGCCCTGAAGCGTGGCACCTTTGACGAAATCTTGCATTAGTTGTTTTCTCCGCATTCCATCTTGGTCCAATAAACTGATGACTCTTTTTGATGTTCAATTCACCAGCGCAAAGCTGCGCAGGGTTTGTAGACCTATCTTTGAGGCAACTTCTTGATCCGGCAATTGGTCGGTTGTTATCAGATAGCGTGGCCCTGACTGCCACACAGGACCTTGGCTCAGATTGCCACAGTTGGCCCACAATAGCTCAAAGGTTGAGTGCAGCTCAGTGCATGGTCTCGAAGCAACTGGAAGCAAGGTGGCTATCCGTATTGTTTGTTGCCACGCACGTTTGCTGCGTTTACCTCCGAAAAGCCCGGCTGTGGCTTTTGTTGGCACAGGAAAGGTGTTTTGCTGTCGGGAGGCCGGCTTCTCATGTAAGGGACCCCCGGCCCTGCGGGGTTTGCGAACACACCCAGGCCTACCAAGCAGAACTTCCTGTGATGCTGACCCTTTCTTTTCTCACCAAAGGCTCTTCATATTTTGAGCATTGTGTCCGGACATGTTTGGACCATTTGCATGTCACATCCGGGTTGAAGAAGTGGTGCAGTGTGAAGTACGATGACCCTCGAGGTAATGGAATACCCAATATGTTCCGCCTATTATTTGATAGTTAGATAGATAAATAGATAGATAGATACATAGATCGATAAATACATAGATCGATAGACACATAGATAGATAGATAGATAGATGGATAGACAGACAGAGACAGAGACAGAGAGACAGACAGAGACACAGACAGACAGACAGACAGACAGACAGACAGGCAGACAGGCAGACAGGCAGACAGGCAGACAGGCAGACAGGCAGACAG